CACATTGATGAACACATGCCGATCAAGTGCTGAAATCTATTCGCAGTGCATTTCTTCAACAGTTCGGAAAGAGCGCAGAAAAGATCGTGTCAAGACCCAATACACAAAGGCGCTGCAAAGCTGACCAGCTTAGAAAAGATAAGCCCCAAAGAGCCCACAGTGTTTCCTCTCTCCCTCCGATGGGCTCAGATATCACTGCAAAAGCCCTTTGTGAAACCGGATGCAGAGCCGAAATCAGCCACCGATCAAAGTACACGCAGAGACTGAAGAGACAGGGAGAGAAAAGGGTTCAGCATGTGTCAGCTGAACCGAATCAACCTGATGCTAAATTTGCTTCACAAAACGCAAGATTGAGCAAGGCGATTGCTGATTTCTTTAGTGTGTGGCCATAAAGCCTCAGCTGTACGATGTCCTCGAATGACAGGACTGGACTGGTCAGCTGCACAGCCTGCAAGTAAGTGACATGTTTGCTGTCTTTACATCCTCAAATTCCACTTGCTGGGATTATTTATTTATTATATTATTGATTATCCATTATTTATCCAGCCCGCAGAGAAGAAAGCGCTGTCGTTTTCTGTTTGCGTTGGGGAGGGGAGGGGGGCATCAATAGGACAAAAATATACTTGTTTGGACATCGGCGCTGGGGTGGGGGGCAGACACGGGGGGTCACATGCCGGAACAGGAAGTGCCATGCAGACCTGACAGTCTGGCCTGGGTCACAGCATTCACTGTCTCTACGCTGTGCGCAGGAGGCTGCGGATACCGAGAAAATAGCATGAAGGGAAAAAAAAATACTGCAGGTTTCACAATGTCCCCAGAAGCGACGAATTTCAACACAACATCCGCAGCGATCATGTGACCCCCCTCGCCCCCCCCCGCGCGTACTGACAGAACGAAAACAGAGGGAGCCCCATCTGCCCCCTCTGCCAGCCAGCGGAGGGGAGAGATTCGGAGGGGCTTTCCTGTGGATTACCCCGCCACCTTTCTCTCAGGCAGACCTCGCCGGCGTTGGATGGAGGGGGGCGGGGACGGATTGGGGAGGACAGGACGGCCGGCGTGGAGGCGGGCCTCTGTTCCGCGAGAGGAAACCTGGCCGCGCTCCGCGTTCATTGAAGAAAAGCACGCCGGCGGCCGCTTCCTGCAGGAGGAAACCCGACAGGCCAGACAGCATCCGCGCGCATCGGACTGCGCCGCGGTCTCCTGGATACACGTCCCGTCCCGTCCCCCCAACCACCACCCACCCCCCCCCCAAGGGACTGCTATTATCGAAATAATTCAAAAAGAATATTTAATATCCTGCATGGGCGGTGCGGTGGAATCACTACAGTTGGGGCCAAGAATTTTTTTTTAATCAAGGCAGTCATTTTCGTTTTATATTTTTATATCTGAGCAATATTTCAATATTTCAGCATTAGCATTTGCTGTTGTATGATATGAAATAGGTGAGTGGACAAAGCTCTAAACAGCTGATTGCCGCTGATATTGCTGGTCCATGATCGGATCCATTCGTCCAGTATGAGGGTGTTTCAGATCTCCCCGCCCCGCCCCGGCTCTGGTGCGGGGATACAGCGCTCCACGCTTTGTGTTCCCGCTATTTATGCCGCATCCGTGGGAAGGGGAGCTCAGAAATTCAGACTCTGGTAGAGCTGGAATCCGTAGCGCGCGAAAAACAAGCCCCCCGCGAGACCTCATTTGCATCCTAATGAAGGCGCGCACAGCCCCGAAATCTGCTTTGTGCACGAGGAGGTGTTCTTTTCCTCCTGCGCGCCAGTGCTACTTCCGAACAGCGCAACAGAAAAAAAAAAAAAAAACTCAGAAATAGACTCGGCCGTGCCACGCAACTGCCCCACTTACAGACTGACTCACTGCTCCTGACTGACCGCGGCACTGACTGACTTCACCTGTTCAACACCTGACCAACACCTCTGAGCTGCGAATCAAAGAGCATGAAGCTGCGCTAATATGGATATTTCAATAAAATCTATTATCCTTCTGACCTTTACTGACAGTTCCCACTGTGCATATGTAGATTTGCTGTGGCTGTGGAAGATGTTTGGAATTTGGAATTTGGAATGTGGCATTTTTTTTCTCTGATGTATAATAACATGTCCACCAAAAGAGGAAAAGGCAAAAGGAACTTTTCTGCATGACCTACAGAAAGTGCAAGAAGATACTATAAATTTAGCCCACTGCTACCATAACATATATACCTAATAAAAGCATTGATACAATTATGTTTTCTTAAAAAAAACTGAATTATATGAATAATTAATTGATAAAAAGAGAAAAGTATTTAAAAAGTAGAGAAAAAAGTATTTGAAAATTGACCCCAGGGAAAGAAGCACATTTGTAATAGGGACACTAAAATGGTGAATCCTGCCAAACGTTCCCCCTTGTGTTTCAGTTTCTCAGACTACTTAGATGCCTTTTCCCTTCCTCATTAATATTAGAAAGTCAGCTTGTGTGTTGGCAGCTTTGCAGCAAACAGGTGCGATACTGATTACTATCACAGCGTCCTTCACACCTGAGCTGTGGAAATTACAGCTTTGCATCTTTTCTCCAGCTCAAAGTAGGAGTCTAAAAATGAAACAGCCAGACACCCTGACGACCCCTCTGACCAAAAACGTACCAAAACAGCCTCTCAAATACTTCTCAGGGGGTGTGAGCAAATATTTGCCATGAGGGCATTGCGAAATTTGGAAATTAAATTGCACAGTACAAGTTGTAAATTGTATTTTCAAATTAAAATGCTCAACAAGAAACAACTCAGCTTTCCTGTTTACAATACTGGAGACGCAGAAACCTGTTAGCAAGAAAGGTAGCTGCATGAACCACTAACAGTCTAAAACACGGCTGTCACCTCCAAGAGAAGTAAAATTTCAGTCCTGTATAAACCGCAGAAACTCTGTTTAAAATAAAGCCAGCGGCGTTTCTCAGACGAGTCACCTGGGGTCCAGGGCTGCTGACGAAGACGTCATCATCGTCCTCCTCGGACCTGCGGTAGCCTTTGAAAGTACTGAACCTGATCATGGTGCCGGAGAGCTGTGAGCATTCTCCTGCGGTTTCCCCCCCCCACCCCCAACTCCAACTCCACCTCTCTCAGTCTGTCTGTCCGTCTGTCTGCCTGGAGGAGAGAGTCTCGAGCAGCTGGTTCTGTAACTAGATCTCTACCTGTATATATATATATACGCACAGACACACACACGCACAGACACAGACACACACACACGCGCGCGGAGGAAGTGGCTGAGGGAAAGCCCTCCCACTCTTTCCTCTCGCACAAGGACACTGCTTGACTGTGGTGAACCTGGCACTCTCTGACTTGCAAGACCCTCTGACGCTCGTGCCGAAACACAGGAAGGCAGCAGGCTGGCTGCAGATGGGGCGCGGTGTGTACCCCGCCCGCCGGCCAGTGCTCCTCTGACACCCGCGCTCCCATACGCCCACCTACGAATACGCCCCCCCTTCCGTGCGGCAGTGCTCCAACACACCGCTGCTCCTCACAACCAGAGGCTTCATCCTGGACAGTGCTGCAAAGCATGCTGGGAGTACAGCCCAGGGCCAGTGAGAACCATAGAAACGGAGACAGAAGGTGGAGCCCTGAGGCGTAAGGGGGCAGAGGGACAGCGGACACTGCAGCCCAATGTAAAGCGATACCACCCCTGGGAGGGCCGACTCTCCCAGGCCCCAGGGTACGAGCGGCCCTTCAGTCACCCGATCCTCAGATCCGGATGCGAGCAGTTGGTGGTATGATCGCCTGTGGCCGCAGACAGATCAATATGTCTGAGTGAGGCTGCTTACGGGTACGCTCCATGCACGAAATGAGCACGACATGAGTGCAGTTACCCAGCTGCAGCGGAGCTACCACTACACCTGAGGTGTGGACAGAACAGGTATTGGGCGCCCCCTTGTGACAGGTACTTGGCAGTGCACTTCACCTCACCAGAGAGAGGGGTAAACACCCCCTCACAGGAACGTCATTCAGCTCTAAGACATGAGCCACAGGTGAAGCGCACACACACCAAAGACACCTGACAAATCTCAGGCACTCAAAAATCACACAAACTGCACGCTCTGGGTTATTACAGTTCCTAGATCTGTCTGAAGCAAGAAGAGAGGAAAAAAAAAAACAGGAACTTAACAGCGCAAGATACATTCCCAGCATTCGCCTGACACTTCCTCTCCTGAGGAGATAAATATAAATGAAACCTGCCAGCGACAGGCCAGTCAGGGGGGACTGGCCCTGTCACAGGCAATTACAGATAGGAGACCCCGCGCGGCACCTGAAAAAACTGCCGCTGGTGAGAAAACCGGGCAGAGCGCGAGGCTGTTGAATACAGAGCGATTCCAAACGGGCGCCGGCAGCGGCTGATAAATTAGCCATTAGCCCCCCCGAGCGGGCGGAGAGCCCGCGCGGCGAGCGGAGGAATACATTAATCCCCCGCACCTCTGTTACCTGGGCAGAGTTATTCTGCACGTCGCTCCATGTTTTATTCATGCCCCCGCATTAATTGAGGATTGGAATTCGCGCCTCGGCAACAGCTTTGAGTGGCGGAGCCGCCTGTTGCTATGAAGGGCCCCGTTCCTCAGAGATGCGGACAGCGATATGCTAACGAGGGCTATGGTTGCCACGCCCGCTTTTCCCTCTCTCTCTCTCTGAGGGAAGCACAGAGGAATCGCACACACAAACACACACATTTACACATGCACATACACGTGCACACACACACACACACACACACACACACACACACACACTCAGGTACATACACATGCATGCACACGTGCGTGCGCGCACATACACACACTTTACTCTCCCAAACAGAAGCTCATGCAAAACTACACCAAAAAGCAATAAGACCAGGGGTTATATACTATATTAAACTGCATCATTTACTTGCTCATTTTTATCAAGCATGACCTACATAGCTTACATTTTCACATATCAGGCACTTACACAGATGGATATATCCACACAGGCAATTCCTCACCCAAGGGCACAGTGACAGCAGTAATCAAACCTGCCACCCTCAGGTTATACGCCCCACACCTTAACCACTGCGCTACGCCGCTGTATTCAGATCAGTTCAGCTCAACCTGACGCTGTTTAAGGGTATTTTCAGGTAGACTGTAAGCTCGGGGGCATAACAGTTCAACGCTGTCCCCTCTCCTTGGTGGGACTCCCAGTCTAGTCACTGTGACTGGCGTCAGACCAGGTACAGCTCTGGGGAGGACAGGGGTCGGCCGCACCCGGGACTGTGGTGTAACAGTTAACACACAAGACTCCGGATCTGGGAGTCATGGGAATACCAGGTGGCTTGCTGCTGTTGTATCTGAGCAAGCTATGTAAGTGTCCAGCTTTATAACTGGATTTATGACACGAGGAGATGTGAAACTGTTGGTCTGCCAAGGAAATAATGACGGCAGTCATATGCCATGAGTTAATCTTTGCCAGTGAGCCATTTCTACAAAAATGCTGCAGTTTTACTATGTGCAACTCACTCTGGACATACACAAGGGACATACGCAAAATGAACAATAATAATGTAGTAATATACTTTATACATATCCTAAATAAAGTCTTGTCACAGTCTTACTATGTCTTATGTGCACCACTGTGCCATTATTAACAAATCTGATACCTGGGGCAACCTGTTTAAGTCCTCTGAAAAGTATGCAATTTTATGTAATGAAACGGGTCAGATAAGGGGAAGTGTCGTGCAGATCAGACAATGGGCAGGGATGTTCCCATTGTAGTTCCACTTACGTCCACTAGGTGTCTCCCTCAGGCTATATAGCCCAGGGGGGTCAGTAACAGCAAATCAGTGGGAGAGAGGAGGAGGAGGGGGGGTATAACTGAGCTACTTACAAAGTGACCTGGTCAGCCACATTCCTCTTTTCCCCTGCACATCATCATTCTGTCCTCGCAGCAGGCACACAAAAAGATGACCTACGCTGTTCTAGTCATCCAGGGCCTCACCGTTTCCTACCCCCTTCAAGGTTGGGGTGAGGGGCATGGGGGAGGGGGTCTCACACCACTGGAGTTCCCTGGGTTTTAGGTGTTTACCACCACTGTGGGTTTCCACAAACTGACCTCCTCCAGCACACACCTCACACATCCTTTACAGTGGATGACCAACCTAACATGCTGTCATAGACTGATTGACTACTGTATGGTCAGTATGAGCCACAGAGCCACACCTCAGCACGACTCACAGAGAACAGGCTACACCCAGCTGATCAGCCTTCATGTCCCCTGATACAGCAGGATAACGTAATGATGCTAATGCAGGTTAAAGCCTATAAGACTGCTGTGGGGATGATCCTCCCCTTGTGTACTTAAATAATGCCGGCTGGGCCCACCAATGGGACGAGAAAGAACAGAGAGGAGCCATCATTCTATTGCAGATCCAATGCAGGCACAAACACATGCATGCACGCGCGCGCACACACACACGTACGTCCACACATGCACACGCACACGTACGCACACATAAGCACACACACAAACACACACGCATGCGCACACACACACGCACTCACGCACGCACACACACACACACACACAATGGCACACTTCCTACAACAACCCAAGCGAGACTAACAACACACTGCTATTAATATGTGACCCAGAGGAAGCACTCGTCCACTCATTTCATTCCGTTAAAAATTCATGACAGGAATCTCATGGGCGGCCGCTCGGGAGCTTGGCTTGAAAATTTTTGAATATTAAGATTCATTCTGGCGCAACGCTGCCAAGGACAGAGCTTTGGAGGGGGTGATATATCAGCTGTCAGAATGTGCGCTGCCTCACTTATGCAGGGGAGAGAACAGCCTCAAAACTAGGACTTTCTGAAGTGAAGAACGTAAAGACTATGGGACACGCTGAACATAGCTCACGCAAAATTCTGAGGGCTGAACTATCACTCCCCCAACACACATGCACGCACAGACACATGCACGCACACACGCGCACACACACACACACACACACACACAGTTTCGCTCTTTCTCTCTCAAACACCCTCTCGCTCTCTCTCTCTCTCTCTCACTCTCTGAAGGGTTCCCTGGGTAAAAACAGGCACAGGTGCGACAAACCAAACCCAAAAGGACAGCTCAGGATAAGCTGCGGGACAGCGCCTGGCTCACAGCTCCGTGTCGGTGACAGGCTGGGCGGCACCGCAACCTGCCGAGGAGCAGGGCACCCAGGCGACAGTGCCGTGACAGCACCTGTCAGAGCCGCTGAAACCGCCACCACATTACCACGCCACGAGAAACAAGGTCTGGCAGAGACCCACAGCGGATTTAACTCACAGTCACAAAAAAAGGCCGCCTCTCTCTACACCCCACCCTCCCACCCCAGGGTCCCACGCTCAGTCAGTGCCCCCATCTCAGCTCCTAGGCTGTAAGAGTCGCAGGCACAGCCAGATTAACCTATATTTCCGCCTCGCCGATTTTCGGTCAGACGAAATCCGCAGCCCGTCCCATTGACACATCTGCGGGATTTAACACATTATTACATTATCCATTTCACTTTCATGTTGATTAGTCTGCATGCCTGCTGTTAAACGCCCCCCCACCCCCTTATGTAGTTCTGTCCTCCCGCCAGCAGGTGGTGAGAGTGAGACTTCAGGGGTCAGTGCCTGCCACATTGCACCATCATTTTCTTCTACTCACTCTTTTTTGCTATCAATAAAATTGAATTTTAAGTTTTAACTGCATCTGTTAGACAAATTATCAAATACAACAGAAGCATACACTTTAGAGTATACCGTGGAGAAGAGAGGAAAGTGGCATTTTACTGGAGACCCCAAATCACCACACTTGTTGCCTTGACCAACACAGACAGCAGAAAAAGAGTTAAGCTTGAGAATATCAGGCTCCTGTACTCTGAGATGAGCGCGGGGCGATTACAAAAAACCAACTTATAAAAAGTTTTCTGCAGAACAAGGATGACAGCGGCGAAGCGCCTGCTTAATCAAAAGTTTGACTGACTTACATTTCCCTTCATTTCACGCTTCGGAAACCTGCACATCCCAACAGAAGAGAAGCTAATTAACCTTTTAGTGTTCCGCTGACAAGACTCTGAACAGTGATGACATTTCCACAATCACATCACCAAAAAAAAAAACCCTTCTCTTTCATCACAGCACAAAACAGCGTGTCTGGCTGCACCAGATGCCATCCCATCCTGCAGCCCTTGCTCTGTATAGCTGAAGGCAAATGGGACTGGAAGTCCAGGTAGTTTCATTACATTTTTTAAACTGCATTACATTATTGGCGTTTAGCAGACACTCTTATCCAGAGTAACTTACATCGGTTACAGGTTTTTACAATGTTACCCATTTATACAGCTGGATATTTACTGAGGCAATTGTGGGTTAAGTACCTTGCCCAAGGGTACAGCAGTAGTGCCCCAGTGGAGAATTGAACCGGCAACCTTTCGGTTACAAGTCCTGCTCTTTAACCACTATGCTACACTGTAGTGTCTGGATGAGACTGGCTGTTGCTGGAAGTGGTGCCTGTAGGCCCTTAGCGTTCCCTCTGGACCAGGTATAAAAACAAATGCCCTAGCGCTATGATGGGGACACTGTGGTGCAGAAGAAGCAGTCTTTCAGGTGAGGCCTTAAACAACACAGCAAGTGGCACACTTGTTTTAGGAGACACTTTTTGGGATGCAGTCTAACCAAGGTCCTGACTCACTGACTTTGATTACAGCCCCACGGGACTTATTGTTAAAAGGGAACTGGTTTCCGCAGACACAATGAACCTGTCACACCTGATCATATTAATGGTCCATTGTGCCAGAGTTGTTTGTCTATCTACCCCATTTTTTTTTCTCTTATGCCCCTGCCATGGTTTTTCCAGCTGCGCAGACAGCATTTTCCATATTATCGTGCACCAGCATCATGAACACAGACAGCACCAGACATGACTGGGTCACTCACTGCATTAGGACAAGCACCACCCATACTGGCAGAAACCAGTTATGTGATATTTTTTTTTTTTTTGGCACTTTATGTGATTTCTGGTATTGTATGTATTTGTCGACTTCCCATAGTTTCTAGGTTGTCTCTTGTACTTGAAGTCACTCTGGATAAGAGCATTTATTAAATGGATGTAATGTAATGGAATGTAATGGAAGCCTCAGAGAAAAGGGAAGCTCAATCAGGTTTGTCTCTGTAGCGCCTGAGTAACGCCTCCAGACACACATAGGGCCAACCCCAGTCTTTTGTACAGCTCTTTTCTCCAGCCCACATGTTGAATTTATCAAAGTGTGCCCCCTCAACACCCCCCAAACCCCCACCCGCCCCACTGTTCTCTCTGGATAAAGGACCACATTACTATGTTAAATAAAGGAAACCAGGCCCAGGACTTGGGGGGAGGGAGGGGGGGGGCCTTTGGGTGGGTGGTCCAACCTGCCTCCGTGTCCCTTTCAACATCACAGACGCGCTGTGGCAGTGGATGCGGGTTCGAGCCGTCAGCTCTTTTTTCCCGCTCCACGTAAAGCCAGCTCTCAAACCAGGGGCTCTTTGTCTGCCATGCTCTGGGCCCTGGATTTCTCCCACGTGCCCCTCTCCCATTGGCATACAGGAAGCGGGCTGCTTTACACAGACCCATACTCAGCTCCTGTCTGCCACAGTCTGCACTCTCCCTCAACAACCAATGGCCTGCATCTGCAAAGCTACAGACAGCACTGTGGCAGGATCCACCAAAGAGATAAATGAGCAGGCCAGTCACATTCCCCCTGCACCCAGGTCAGGTCAGGTCAGGTCAGTTATTATTTTCAATTATTTAAGTGATGATATGTACATATGATTTTACATGGGCCTAATTTAGGACACTCTGAAGTAAAGTTAACCTGCTTCATATCACGACCCTGGTTTAGCCTCATTTACTAACCTCTGTATGCAGAACAGATGCCGGAGTGATCAAACAAAAGCACTTATTGTGAGAGCTAATTGCTGCAGTGAACCAGACCGGTAAACTGTCAGGAAGTTCGTCCCGGTCCACACCGGTAGCCAGCCCAAGGATTAAGGTTAATGTGATGAATTGGGCCACCATTCGCAGGT